ATCATGCGAAGTGAGCCATCTGCGCAATTCAGAAGTGTCGAGTAGAAGTGTCGTCCAGAAGTGTTGATCACAAGTGTCGCTCAGAAGTATCGGTCGGAAGTGCCCGGAAGTGTTGATCAGAAGTGTTGCTCAGAAGTGTCGAACAGAAGTCTTGCTCAGACGTGTCCCTCAGAAATGTTGTAACAGAACTGTTGCTTGGAAGTTTCGATCAGAAGTGTGCTCAAAAAGTGTTGCTCAGGGGTATCGCTCATTGCTCAGAGGCGTCGCTCATGTTGCTGAGATACGTTTGTAGAAATGTTGCTTGGATTGTCGCTCAGGCAGCAGTGTTGCTGATTGTGTGTGGCTCAGACGTGTCGCTCAAAGGTGTTTTCAGAGTGTCGCTCAGGAGTGCCGCGCAGTGTTGCCCAGAAGTGTTGTTCAGAGGTGTCGCTCAGAAGTGTCGCTCAAAAGCGTCGCTTACATGTGTCTGTGTGTGCGTTTGCTCAGAAGTGTTGCTCGGAAGTTCTAAAAGTCTAAAAGTTCTTAAAAATCAAGGGTCCTGGCTGGGCCCTCCTGGGCTGGGACCATCTAGAGTTCTTAAAATTCTAAACTTCGGAGGTCCGATTTGTAGTGAGTCAAAGTGCGAAATCTACACCTAGGCACCAAAGTGCTGCGACTGCCACAAAATTTGCACGAAAAGCTCCAAAGTGCTGCGCCTGCCACGAAGCTCAACCAAAACGCTTTCCATTCCTAGCTAGAAGTGCCCAAGGCCAGGCCGGGCCGAGAACGTGCTCGTTTCGCAATTTCCCGTATAATTTAGAAGCGGCTGAATTGTATCTCCATGCCGTTTCTGTTCCTTATATATCCTTTTTCGCTCCAGTCAATGTTCACTCCTTTCTTTTTCACGTCCTTTCGATTTCTTTCCAACAAAGGAATAGAATAAGAATTTAAGCGAAATGAAAATGCAAAGGTTTGAGCCGGATATGGAAAGGAACAGAAAGGACGTGAAAGCGAGTTCCAAATAACTTGACATGGACAATTGCAAAACGGGCACTTTTTCGGGCCTGGCTGGCCCTGGCCACTTCTTCCAGGTAAGAATTCAGGGAAATGGGAAAGAGCGGAAAGGAATAGAAATTAATGGAAAGAAAAGCAAGGCAATGGAAAGGAATAATAAGAAAATGTAAAGAACATGGAAACACAAAGGAGTGGAAACGAACAGTAAAAACGGGAACGGAAAGGAAAGAGAAGGGAAATGGAAAGTCGTTGAGAAGGAAATTGAAGCAAATAGAGAAATGGAATAGACAAGAAAAGTGCCCAAGGCCAGCCCGAGAAAGGTCTATGTCCCAGTATTCTCCTATCCTAACTCATTCCTATCTCACGGCTGTGATTACTAAGGGAAAGAGCGGTTGGGGAGAGCAAGAGCTGCACACATGATATTGTCTTCCTTCACCCCCCTCCTTGCAAGGTCAGGAGATGACCCTTCAGTCATACGATTAGTGTTCTCTTGCTTTTGCTCAGCCGCAACAATCATGACTCTGGATATTCCAAGAAGCATGCCAGTAAAAGGGCATGAAAGACAGATAATGAACGTTTTTGGATGCGTCTCCCATCTTTGAAACGCTTACAGTCCTAACACTAAGATCTTAAGGAATAGACTTCCTATTGACAAGACATAGAGATGAAACAAGTAAATAATAAAAAGGTGAGACTCATGGCGAGACAAGATACAGCTAGTAAATCAAGTAGACAATGCTGATAAATACAAAACAAAATGTGTGAGATTCTGGAAGATGCCCCCCACACAGCGGCTTAAGACCTGGATCTACAACATATTACATTTATTTTTGGATATCTTCTTTCGCATTCATAAGGCTTGTGTAGAGGATCTCCTAGTCACCTATCCAAACCTTACATCTTTGTTATTGGCACGAAAGGATTATGAGAAAGACAAATATAGAGACATACGATTTGTAAGTTTGGAATTACTTCTTCCTCATTCGTAAGGTTGCGACAGCTAGAGAAGAAAGGAAACGCTCATTTTGCATTTTCCCTCGATCTTTTTTTGAAGAGGCAAGTTTCCTTCCCTCCCTGTCATTCCTTGCCACTTCCATTCCATGCATTGCCATTTCTTTCCTTTCCATTCCTTTCTAGAAACGGCCAGCCCGGGCCAAACGCGTGCTTGGGTGGACGGATTCTCCCTTGGATGCCTGGCGGGGGCTCTCTGGGTGGACGAATTCATTAGCCTGGATGCCTGGCGTGGCTCTCTGAATGGGCAGCTTGGATGCCTGGCGCGGATTCATTTGTCTCCCTTTGTCGGGTTGTGCCTGTCAAGGCTCTCTGGGTATTGTCTCCCAGCTTGGAGGTTTGGCGCGTCTCTTCTCCTTCTTGTTCTCTCCTTGGACGGACTGATTTGCGGTGTATTCCGCGGGCACGCATGTGTTTGAGGCTCAGAAAAGCGTGTTTGAGCGCATGCTCTTGATCAAGCCACAGGCAGCACGGCGGGTGCACGCATCAGTGCTTCAAGTGAATGATTGTGTGCTCTTGAAAAAAAACCACATCGGCGCGTTGCAAGTGAACGCGCACTTTTTGCATGTGACCACGTGAGTGTGTTCCACGTGAGCGCATGTGTGTTCCAGGTGAAAGCGTGTGATTGTTCTGATAAAACACATATGCGATTCGGTCAAAATTCTTAGTAAGGGAGTTTAGTCTACAGAGAACCAACAACAAAAAAACAATCAACAACAAACAAAATCAACAACTAACAAAAACAATCAACAACTCACAAACACAATCAACAACAAACAAGAAATGGGCAGGACATGGAACGTTTGTGCTTGGCAAACCGGGTCTCGCTGCCGATAAAGTTTTGTATAGAACCCATTATGGAGCCTGCCCCAGCTGGATTCCAGGCACGTTGAAGCCCAAATGAAAAGGAGAAGGAAAGGAGCTGGAAAGGAAATAGATAAGGAAAACAAATGGAAAGGAAATGGAGAGGAAATGGAGAGGAAATAAATTTGTTGATTTTTTAATAATTGATTCGAACTATTTTTGAACTTAGCTAGAAAAATGGCTGGAAAGGCAATCAATTGTTTCTAAACTTTTTGTATTTTTCTACTTAACTAGAAAAATTGATTAGACAATCAATCAATTGTGTATATTTTCGGAATTGTCTGATTATTTGGAGGGCTAGGTTTCCAGAATGTTGGGCAATTTTTTCAATAAAGTTTCTCCTTTTCCTTGTTTTCTAAGTAGAAAAATAGGAAAATAGAAAAATGACTGATTTTCTAGCAATTGTTTAATTAATTGAAAAGGTAATTCGAAAAAAAGTCCCAGACCTAGCCTCCTCCAAATAATTTGAAGAATAGGAAAAATATAAAATGAGTGGTTTCCAGAAGGATTTTTGAAAAATGATTGATTTTCCAGCGAATTTGACCCATGAAGAAGTATGAAAGATTAGAAAGACACATGAAGAAGTCCCAACATTCCGGAAAACCTAGCCTCCGCCAAAAAAATAGAAAAATGACAAATGATTGATTTTCCAGCTGTTTCTATTTAATCAGAAAAGCTAGCTAAATAGGAAAAACATGACTGATTGTACAGCGATTTTTTCTATTCGAATAGAAAATGATGGAAACAAAATGAAAGGAACATCATGAACATGATGGTGAAATGATGATGATGATGTTGTTGATGATGATGATGAGGATGACGGTGATGATGATGATGACGAGGATGATAGGGGTGGGCCAGCTTGGACAGACTCCCTTAAGCTTTCCGTAGTCCTTTCATTTCAGCTATCTATTTAAATTAGAAAACTAGCTGGACAATCAGTCATTTTTCAATTTGTCTAGTTTTCCTGCTAAATTAGAAACAATAGGAAACTAGAAAAACATAGGGCCCAACATTCCGGACATCACGCCTGGGAAGACCTAACCTGGCTCTCAAAGACAAGTCTGGCTAACTAGAGCAATTAGCCGTACACAAAAGAAAAAGCCAGGAGGAATGGGAATGAAGCCCCGACAAGATTTTCTTGCGCGCAACGCGTTGCGACACATTTGGTATAATCTTCCCTCACACCCCCCCACCCAACTCCCCCGCTACTTTTTGGATTGTTTGCAGAGATTTAATTGCACTCGAGCATTTCAATTTCGAGAGACAATGCTGCAAAATAGGACATTTGATGTAATCTATGCGGTCTATGTATGTCTGCAGGAAGGCACTTTGTTGAACATCATAGGGGAAGCCACCCCTGCCAACCCTCCCGCTGCTTTTTATACTTTATCGCACCCGTTCTCGAATCATTGCACCCCCAATTCAATCTTCTCTTTTTCGAACATCATGGGGGGTGGGCTGCCGTCCCCCCCACCAACTCCCCCGCTAACGATGCTGGGGGTTTTGACAGCGTAAAATACGTCAATTTCGCGAGAAAATGCTATAAACTACGACATTATATTGACCGAAAAAAAAAACGAAACGCACGCCCCGAAATACATTCGCATTTGATTGAAGCCCCGGCTTCGCGCAGAAAAACGTTTGTTTAGCCTTCGAGGCAAATGTCTTGGGCATTGTTCGCGATGCAGTGCGTTGCATCTCTTGCCCTGAAGTCTTGCAGTTCTTGCGGGCCGGACGGGGAACAGGGCTGAGCAGAGGGATGCGAGGGGCGTGAGGCTTGAGGGACGTGAGGGAGGGCTCGTAAGAAACGTGGGACGCGGGATGTGAGGGATACGATTTGGACTCGCGGGAGGGAGGTGTCTTCGCCGTGTCTAGAGTACTTTGAGAAATGTCTGATCTCTGAAGCCGCTTGAAAGTCTTATCAAAGCTGCCCCATGCACTCAATTTCATGATCCAATTGCATCCTACTAGATCCCTAGAAATTGGCTCATTAAGCGTTAAACGCTTCTAAAATCACAGGGGTGAAGCCAACACCTAAAAGGAAAACCCGAAAATTGCATCGTCAAAGTTTCCGGGCTTGGCCAGACTCAGTTCAACGCTTCGGTTGGAGAGAAGGGCTGAGTCTGCAGGCTTGACGGCATTCGCACAGACGCCGGAAGGCTGGAGGAGGCGCATCGCTCGATTCGCCAAACTCGCCGAAAGCCCACTGCGCCACACACAGACGCAACAGATATCACAGATACAGAAAGACAACATACTCCAAGCTTTCTTAGCCTTCGAAGGCCCGCGAGGAAGCACGAGGCGCGGCAAGAGGCTTCAGGGTTGAAGGCGTTGAATTGAAATGCTGTGCTTTTCACGGGTGGCTGTAAAGGGCGTGCGTATTCGCCTGGACGCAATGGCCCGTCGCATTGCGCGAGGCATCTTGGAGCGAGATGGATCTCAGCGCTTTCTTGTGGAGATTGCGTGGGTCTACGCCAACCGCGCTGAGTGGTGCGAGATTGCATGTCTTGAGCTCAGAGTCTCCCTGTTCCATTTCTCTCAGGTATTTGGCGTCTTCCAGTTCCGCCCTTGGTTCCTGGAGCGCGCGAGCCTTGGACCACTTGGCAGAACCAGACACCGAGCCGTCAGATTGCGGAATCTATGTCTGGTCACTTGGGTCACTTGGGTTACCTGGGTCGCTGAGTCACTTGAGTCAAAGTGACCTAAATGATCTGTGACCAGAGAGGACTTGGAGTGAGTCTTTATTTCTCAGAGTTCAGACATTTGGGATGCAGGTGGTCCGCAAAATTGCTTGGCGCGGGCTTGGGTCACTTGAACCATTTGGAGCTTTTGGAGCACTTGGGGCGCTTGGAGGTTGCGTCCGGTTAGGTTGGCGTGTCACTTCTTCGCCGCGCCTTGCCAGGTGACCCAAGTTATCCAAGTTATCCAAGTGACCCAAGTGATTCTGAGCGACTCAGAAATCCTCGCTTGCTGGCGCGCTACCAACGGTTGGGTTGTCTGGGGTGGCAAGAGGTTCCTCTGGGTGGTCCGGGGTGGTTTGAGGGTTCCACCAGGTTCTGCAAGGTGTTTCACATAAGGTTCCACGACAGTTCCACCAAAGTTTTATCAGCGCTCCACCAGGTTCTGCAAGGGCTGCGGGGTGGTCCGGGGTGTGAGGTAAGGTTTCACGAGGGCTGCGGGGTTGTCCGGGTGGTTTGAGGTAAGGTTCCACGAGGGTTCCACCAGGGCTGCGGGGTGGTGAGGTAAGGTTCCACGAGGGCTTTACCAGGGTTCCACCAAAGTTCTGCAAGGTTGTGCGGGGTGGTTTAAAATAAGGTTCCACGGGCTCCACCAGATTTCACCAGGTTCTGCAAGGGCTGCGGGGTTCTGCGAGGTATGGTTCCATGACAGTTCCACCAGAGTTCTAGCGGGTTCCACGGGCTGAGGTAAGGATTCCACAAAAGTTCCACAAGGCTCCACAAGGTGCACAAGGCTCCACAAAACATTCCATGGTTTGCCCAAAGACGCAATGTGTCACCGGAGCAATAAATTGAGGGCTCAGAAGATCACGCTCATGGGCGGAACGCTGAGCAAAACCGAAATCAATGGTTTTCAGCACACTTTCACTGTTTCGTGGCAAATCAGACCACGCTGCTGCGGGACTCACTGTGCAGCAGAGCAAATGCTTGGCATTATTGAGTATTACTTGCTGGGCTTTGAGTTCCAAGAGCTCCACAGGCTGCGAGGGCTATCAGGTTCTGCAAAAGCTATGGGGCAGCCCTGAGGAAAGGTTGCAGGAAGGTTTGCAAGGTTCACAGGACCGATTAATTACACAGTCGGGGCTCCGATTGCGCCGTCGGGTCAACTGAACCAAGCTGGCATCGCCTAGCTTTGCTAGGTACAGTTGTAAAGCCACATGTTAAACAAAACCGGCGTTGAGAATATGGTTGGCTGGTGTTGGTGGGATTGCGCCGGCCCCGCTTGCCCCCCGATTGCACTGTCGGTCCCTGATGAGCCCCGATTGCGCCGTCGGGCCCCGATCGGGCCCCGATCGGGCCCCGATTGCGCCGCCGGGCCCCGATCGGGCCCCATTGCGCCGTTGGGCCCTGATCAGGGCACGATTGCGCTGTCACTTTTTGCTTTGCTTTGCTTTACAAAGTTACAAGGCGGCATCCTCAGCAAAACCGGCGGTGAGGTGCCCCGGGGCAGATTCTAGGAGGGTGTGGTGCTGTTGGGGATATCGCCTGAGCTTATGTTTTGTTTACAATATTCTTTAAAAGACATCTAGTTTGATTTGAACGTATGTTACATATGTTCCGTGTGCGGATATAGGTGGGTGCCATGGGCTCCCGCGCCCACAGCCGTGGCAGGGAGGCGGGGAGCTACATGAACGCGGTCCGTTTGCGATCCGCTTGCTCAACAGTAAAGGAATGGCGCGCACGAGTCTTTGGCACTTGATCTTCGAGCGGCTTTGAGCGTTTCTTTTGGTAGCATTCTGCGTTTGGTTTGTTTTTCAAAGCCGATGTGTCCGTTGCTGCGCGTGGCGCGTAGCTGGGAAACTGGGACTCAAAGATTGCCATACTTTCCATCTTGACGTGATGTGAATGAGTTAAAGTGGTTTCGGCGCAGAACTTGCACAATCTTTTGGCGAGCCATGCATTTGCACACTGCGAACATGTTCAGAGCAACACATTCATCAGGTATATTGAGAGCGCGTTTGCATGTAATTCTTTAGCATTCATGCTCCGATGGAGGCATCCCAGCAAGCCAACACGGCAAGACTGGCAGTGCGGTCTTTCTGGCAGCTGAGGAGGACCTTGGCCATCCTTGTGGAATGAAAAAGACATGTTCTCATCAGGATTGTCAAGGAGGCAGACAGCAATGAACACGAGAATCAGGAGGACTATAGTTATAGCCCACATGCTCGTTCCATTTAGCTCTGCACCTCGTAGGAGCTCCCAGAATCTTTATCCAGCGCGTTGCCAACTTTCATGGAGTCGCTTGGGATTAATATGATTGAAGTATGTTCGAATTACCTGCTTGCGCAATCAATGGCACCACTCCCAGGACGTTTTGGAGCCTGTCAGCCCACGACATCACCAACACGCTGGATAAGGAAGCACTCTCGGATCTGCAAGGGAGCCTGGTTGTTCTGTGCCAGGTGATTCAACGTGTCTTGAGGCGCAATGCGGCGTCCAATTAGTTTGACAATGCCATGCGAATGTGCCAGGGATGGCAGCGTTGACGTGGAAGCCCGAATCGGCCGTGGGAGCCCTAGCTGAATGAATTCGATGAAACGCTCTAGACCCCACTTAGACACGCAACACATGGAGGGGCCAGAAAAAGAAAAGAGTGACCTGATAACTTTGGAATCTTACCTTTCGGAAAGCGTCAATTCCCAGCCGGACGTTTTTTTTCCTCATTTGTTCTGTTTGTGTGTTTTGTTTTGCGCTTTTTGTGCTTGGTGTGTCGTTTGTTTAGCTTGCTTTAGCGGGCGTTTGGTTGCTGATTGTTTGTTTGCTCATGTTTTTTTTGCTTGTGCTTGTTTGTTGGTTTGCTGCTTTACCGGTTTGTTGGTTGGTTTGTTTGTCTGTCTGTCTGTCTGTCTGTCTGTCTGTCTGTCTGTCTGTCTGTTTCTGTCTCTCTTTGTTTGTTCGTTTGTTTGTTTGCTTGCTTGCTTGCTTGCTTGTTTGTTTCTGTCCTTGTTTGTTTGTTTATTTCTTTGTTTGTTTGTTTCTGTCTTTGTTTGTTGGTCTGTTTGTTTGTTTGTTTGTTTGTTTGTTTGTTTGTTTTTATTGCTTGTTTGTTTGTTTGTTTGTTTGTTTGTTTGTTTGTTGTTTGTTTTTGCTTGTTTGTTTGTTTGTTTGTTTGTTTTTTGTTTTTTGTTTTTGTTTGTTTGCTTGTTGGGTTGTATATCTGTTTGTTTGCTTGTTTGTGTTTGTTTGTTTGTTTGTCTGCTTGGTTGGTTGTTTGTCTGTGTTTGTTTCTGTCCTTGTTTGTTTGTTTATTTCTTTGTTTGTTTGTTTCTGTCTTTGTTTGTTGGTCTGTTTGTTTGTTTGTTTGTTTGTTTGTTTTTATTGCTTGTTTGTTTGTTTGTTTGTTTGTTTGTTTGTTTGTTTGTTTGTTGTTTGTTTTTGTTTGTTTGTTTGTTTGTTTGTTTGTTTGTTTGTTTGTTTTTTGTTTTTGTTTGTTTGCTTGTTTGGTTGTATATCTGTTTGTTTGCTTGTTTGTTTGTTTGTGTTTGTTTGTTTGTTTGTCTGCTTGGTTGGTTGTTTGTCTGTGTTTGTTTGTCAAAGTGTTGCATGCCAGGCGCACCCCATAATACTTGAATGCCATGACGCTTCACGAGCGAGTTGGGTACTTCTGGGTTGAGTGTGGTCATATCTAAGAGCATCACTTCTGATCAACTTGGGCTTTCTCATGGCAGCAGAGCCCTAGTGCTCCAGTAGAACTTCGGTAGAGCCCAACTTTTGAAGAAGCAGAGGGAGTTACTTTGGTGACTTCTGAACGTTGGCAGAGATGGAGTGAGATTTCGGCGGCAAGCTTAGGCTTCCACTTCCGAATCCTTTCAACGTCCACCCTGCATCCTGGAAGGGATGGCAATGGAAACTCCGCACTTATCTTTCCATGTTTAAGCCAGGTGTGATTCCCAAAACAATTCTGGAAAGGTCAGCAACTTCTGCTGACCAAATCCTGGATGACGGCGTCGCGACAGCTGTTTTGTGGACGACTTCGCGTTCAGAGCCCGCAGGGGCGCGGAAGACTTCTTGGCGGCATACCGGTGGCGCAATCAGCAGTCTTGCATCTTTCGACGTCATGATGATGGCCGAGCGAGGCTTTCGCAAAGGAACAGAAGGTCGCGCCGGTGATCTTGTCCCCGCGACGCTTCGTGCTGATCCTTTGATGTGTGCACCAGTGCTCTGGCTGGTACTTCCCAAGAGCCACTTCCCTTTGGCTCTCGCCGCTTCTTCGGGCAGCCGCGTTGGGAACTTCTGTTTCTTTCCGAGGAGTGCTCTAGGTTCTTTATGAAATTTTTCAGCACATAAGAGATTGCTATTTCGGAGGGTGTTCTCGCTAGGTCGGAGGCAGCTTGCCTCATCTTCATTGAACTGCCGCTCCGCCAGATCCAGCCCCTTGCGAGCCACAGTCATGCAAAGTGGATATCCAAGATGCTGCTTCCAGCCAACAAAAACCTGACAAGACACCCCGCTGCATTTCATAGTTGCTTCTTGATGGTAGCCGCTGCGTTGCGCCCGAAGGGAAAACAGGCCGCTCACAAAAGTGCCTGACCTTGGAAAACGCACATGGGAGAAGCGTTCTCTCACATGCTATTTCAACTTCTGAGCGCTGGTAGTTTGGTTGGGAAATAGAGGGCTTTCGCTAGTAGCGCCCAACTATGGTAGGTTCACATTATGAGCTGGTATGGGACTACTTGCGCCCTCCATAGGTCATCAAACAGTTTCTGACAAACAGATCCCGCAAAAAAAAGCCAACCCCATCTTCAAACAAAGAAATGCTGCGCTAACGTGAAGACATGTCCTTCATGAAATACAGATTTCATTTCGTTTGTGGCGCGTGCTAAACCCTCCATGTTAACCAAAACCAAGCAAGCAGCCTGATGAATCTGCTGCAGGCCTAACCTGTGACAGATGTGGCTGTATGTCAATGCCACTTCCGCAAAGATGTTCTGTCCTGTTCTACCGTTTTCAACTACCATAGAGATGCACAAGGGCCCGCAAGCAAAATGCAACCGTAGCCCCAGTGCAACCAAATTCATTGTTGCCACGCGCGCTGGCTCATGAAAGGTGAAAGCGAAGCAGCAATCAATGTGGGTGCTAGTTGCAAAGACTATTGTAGCTAGCACTGCAAAACACAGTAAATAGCAGCGTTTTGTGGCTGGGGTAGCGCGCGCCAGAAGGCCCGAAAACCAACGGGAAAAAGCAAGGATGCGAGCCAGACACAGCAACAGCAAAACGAACAGAACAACAACAAACCGCTCAGCACAGCAGTTTTTGACGGTATTTACAGCGTTTTGTAGAGCGAGGGCCCAGCATCGCCGGCATGCCCGGCAGCGCTTGGCGCCAAAATGCGCGAAAATGAGCCTCGCTTATATCCGACACCTTCTAAAAAACCGTGCTTCATGGGTTGAGAGGCTTTTTGGAAGGAAGTCTTGATGATGCAGACCAAGCCCCGCTGAAGCATCACCCAGGCCTGTCAGCCACATGGCCTAAACCCTGCATATACGCGATGTTTTGCGAGGGCAAGCAAAACCGCAAGCCCGAGCTGGTGATGCAGAGGTGCCGGATTTAGGCAGCGCATCACGACCGAGCGGCGGGGGTCGGCGGCACCAGGGTGCGGCCCCTATAGCTAAAGCTAGCAGGCTAATTGCCTAGCGGCGACATGCTATTTGAGGAGGCGTAGCCGGATTTAAAGAGTGCCGCCGACCCCCTCACTGAACCTAACGTCATCATCACCCCCCATCAACCCGCCCCCCCGCCAGAATAGAGGAGAACAGAAGAGACAGTTTCATGCCCTGAGCACGCGATCCGAGGGGATTGACCCGAGGATTCACCATGGTCGGGGTTGCGCGGAGATTGATCCGCGTGCGCGTGTGCAGGGCTTGAAACCGTCTCTAATGTTCTCCTCTGTTCTGGCAGGGGGTCGGGTTGATGGGGGGTGATGATGACGTTGGTGCTCTGGTGATGCATTTGGTTTTTACATAGCCCCCGGGTGGCTATAACTCCCGACCCCCCGGGGACAACCCCCGTAAAGTGAATTGCCGCAGGCATTTTTTTAAGCTTTTTTGTTTTGAGAGCTCCCGGAGGTGTTTTTCTGTGGTTTTGTCCAACCCGAACGGTGCTCCCAGGAACCGCCTCGGCCTTGTGTCAGGCTGTTTTCGGTTTCTGGGTCTTGCACGTTTGCGCCGGTTTGGATGATGCGGAGATGCGGGGACGAGGAATTCCTGTGTCTGTGATGCCGCTTTTTGTGGCCCGTTTTGCTGATTCTTGTCGGTGCCCGGAATTTTAGGTCGTTGCTGGCTGGCCTCTAGTCTTCCTAGCTGCCTGCCTGCCTGCCTTCCTTCTTGCCTGCCTTTGTTTTTTACGTCTTCGTTAGCATGCTGATTGTTTTCTTGGCTGCTTGTCTGAGGAAACAGTGTGCTTCAAAAGTTAGAAAAGATTGAGTCACAAGATAATGCTTTTGAGTTTGAGGTTCCGTGGACCTTCCATTCCAGGAATTAACTTCTGATTGAATTCTCAGCCCTTGCATATTCGGAGACTCGGCGATGAAAATCGGACGATAATCATCATGACGCATCTTCAGCATAGCCAGTAATCATCACGACGCATCCTCAACATCACCAGCAGTCATCCACGCATCCTCAGCATCACCAGCAGTCATCACGATAATCATGTCCACGCATCTTCTGCATCTCGAAATGGTGCCTACGGGACACTTGAAACGTATAGAAGAAAGAGATGATGATGACAATCATGATGATCATGATTGTGTTGATAATCATCATGACGCATCCTCAGCATCAGCAGAAATCATCACTGCATCCTCAGCATCACCAGCAGTCATCATGATAATCATGTCCACGCATCCTCAGCATCACCAGCAGTCATCACGATAATCATGTTCACGCATCTTCTGCATCTCCAATGGTGCCTAACGGGACACTTGAAACGCTTAGAAGAAAGAGATGATGATGACAATCATGATGAGCATGATTGTGTTCATAATCATCATGACGCATCCTCAGCATCACCAGTAATCATCACGACGCATTCTCAGCATCCTCAGCATCACCAGCAGTCATCACGATAATTATGTTCACGCATCTTCTGCATCTTCAATGGTGCCTAACGGGACACTTGAAACGTATAGAAGAAAGAGATCATGATGACAATCATGATGAGCATGATTGTGTTGATAATCATCATGACGCATCCTCAGCATCAGCAGAAATCATCACTGCATCCTCAGCATCACCAGCAGTCATCATGATAATCATGTCCACGCATCCTCAGCATCACCAGCAGTCATCATGATAATCATGTCCATCGTCAGCATCACCAGCAGTCATCACGATAATCATGTTCACGCATCTTCTGCATCTCCAATGGTGCCTACCGGGGCACTTGAAACGTTAGAAGAAAGAGATGATGATGACAATCATGATGAGCATGATTGTGTTCATAATCATCATGACGCATCCTCAGCATCACCAGTAACCATCACGACGCATTCTCAGCATCCTCAGCATCACCAGCAGTCATCACGATAATCATGTTCATGCATCTTCTGCATCTTCAATGGTGCTTAACGGGACACTTGAAACGTATAGAAGAAAGAGATCATGATGACAATCATGATGAGCATGATTGTGTTGATAATCATCATGACGCATCCTCAGCATCAGCAGAAATCATCACTGCATCCTCAGCATCACGATGCATCCTCAGCATCACCAGCAGTCATCATGATAATCATGTCCACACATCCTCGGCATCGCCAGCAGCCATCACGATAATCATGTCCACGCGTCTTCTGCATCTCCAGCGGTGCCTAGCTGGACACTTGAAACGTACAGAAGAAAGAGATGATGATGACACGCATGACGCATCCTCAGCATCACCAGTAATCATGACAACGCATCCTCAGCATCATCACCATCATCCTTATCGTCATCATCATCCGAACTCCTCATCATCATCCTCATCCTCATCATCATCCTCATCATCATTCTCATCATCATCATGATCCGCATCATCCTCATCATGCTCACCCTCATCCTCCTCATTATCATCATCATCATTCTCATCATCATCATGATCCTCATCATTTTCATCCTCATTACCATCATCATCATCCTCATCATCATCCGTGTCATCATCATCATCATCATCATCTTCTCCCTCGTCCTCACCCTCATCCTCGCCCTCATCATCATCCTCATCATCATTTTCATCATCATCAGCAGCATTATGATCCTCATCATCCTCATCATCATCATCCTCACCCTCATCATCTTCATCATCCTCATCATCATCCTCATCATCCTCCCTCATCATCCGGTCTCTAAATTTTGCACGGTTTCGCCGGTTTGGATGATTCGGTGATTCGGAGACTTGGGGATGAAAATCGGAGACGCATCCTCAGCATCACTAGTAATCATCACGGCGCATCCTCAGCATCACCAGTAATCATCGCGACGCATCCTCAGCATCACCAGCAGTCTTCATGATAATCATGTCCACGCATCCTCAGCATCACCAGCAGTCATCACAATAGTCATGTCCACGCATCTTCTGCATCTCCAATGGTGCCTAACGGGACACTTGAAATGTATAGAAGAAAGAGATGATGATGACAATCATGAGGAGCAGGATTGTGTTGATAATCATCATGACGCATCCTCAGCATCACGAGTAATCATCACGACGCATCCTCAGCACCACCAGCCATCATGATTCATGTCCACGCATCCTCGGCATCACCAGCAGTCATCACGATAATCATGTCCACGCATCTTCTGCATCTCCAATAATGGTGCCTAACGGGACACTTGAAACGCATAGAAAAAAAGAGGTGATGATGACACGCATGATGAGCATGATTGTGTTCATAATCATCATGACGCATCCTCAGCATCACCAGTAATCATCACGACGCACCCTCAGCATCACCAGCAGTCATCATGATCATCATGTCCGCGCATCCTCAGCATCGCCAGCAGTCATCACAATAATCATGCCCACGCATCTTCTGCATCTCCAATCGTGCCTAACGGGACACTTGCAACGTATAGAAGAAAGAGATGATGATGACAATCATGAGGAGCAGGATTGTGTTGATAATCATCATGACGCACCCTCAGCATCACGAGAAATCATCACGACGCATCCTCAGCACCACCAGCCATCATGATTCATGTCCACGCATCCTCGGCATCACCAGCAGTCATCACGATAATCATGTCCACGCATCTTCTGCATCTTCAATGGTGCCTAACGGGACACTTGAAACGTATAGAAGAAAGAGATCATGATGGCAATCATGATGAGCATGATTGTGTTGATAATCATCATGACGCATCCTCAGCATCAGCAGAAATCATCACTGCATCCTCAGCATCACGATGCATCCTCAGCATCACCAGCAGTCATCATGATAATCATGTCCACACATCCTCGGCATCGCCAGCAGCCATCACGATAATCATGTCCACGCGTTTTCTGCATCTCCAGCGGTGCCTAGCGGGACACTTGAAACGTAAAGAAGAAAGAGATGATGATGACACGCATGACGCATCCTCAGCATCACCAGTAATCATCACGACGCATTCTCAGCATCATCACCATCATCCTTATCGTCATCATCATCCGAACTCCTCATCATCATCCTCATCCTCATCATCATCCTCATCATCATTCTCATCATCATCATGATCCGCATCATCCTCATCATGCTCACCCTCATCCTCCTCATTATCATCATCGTCATTCTCATCATCATCATGATCCTCATCATTTTCATCCTCATTACCATCATCATCATCCTCATTACCATCATCATCATCCTCATCATCATCCGTGTCATCATCATCATCATCATCACTATTTTCCTCAGCATCATCATCACCCTCATCATCATCATCATCATCTTCTTCTCCCTCGTCCTCAGCCTCATCCTCGCCCTCATCATCATCCTCATCATCATTTTCATCATCATCAGCAGCATTATGATCCTCATCATCCTCATCATCATCATCCTCACCCTCATCATCTTCATCATCCTCATCATCATCCTCATCATCCTCCCTCATCATCCGGTCTCTAAATTTTGCACGGTTTCGCCGGTTTGGATGATTCGGTGATTCGGGGACTTGGGGATGAAAATCGGAGACGCATCCTCAGCATCACTAGTAATCATCACGGCGCATCCTCAGCATCACCAGTAATCATCGCGACGCATCCTCAGCATCACCAGCAGTCTTCATGATAATCATGTCCACGCATCCTCAGCATCACCAGCAGTCATCACAATAATCATGCCCACGCATCTTCTGCATCTCCAATGGTGCCAAGCGGGACACTTGAAATGTATAGAAGAAAGAGATGATGATGACAATCATGAGGAGCAGGATTGTGTTGATAATCATCACGACGCATCCTCAGCACCACCAGCCATCATGATTCATGTCCACGCATCCTCGGCATCACCAGCAGTCATCACGATAATCATGTCCATGCATCTTCTGCATCTTCAATGGTGCCTAACGGGACACTTGAAACGTATAGAAAAAAGAGGTGATGATGACAAGCATGATGAGCATGATTGTGTTCATAATCATCATGACGCATCCTCAGCATCACCAGTAATCATCACGACGCATCCTCAGCATCACCAGCAGTCATCATGATCATCATGTCCGCGCATCCTCAGCATCGCCAGCAGTCATCACAATAATCATGCCCACGCATCTTCTGCATCTCCAATCATGCCTAACGGGACATTTGCAACGTATAGAAGAAAGAGATGATGATGACAATCACCATGAGCATGATTGAATTGACGATAATAAGAGTAAGAACAAGAGCGATGATGACCTTCACAGCAGGCGGATTTTTAAAGAAGTTGTGTAAGCTACAAGACATCCAAGCAGGACCGGTAGTTTCGGTTGTTCGTAGATCAGTTTTTCCAGTTGACCTGCGAGTCCTAGCCTCGCGCGAGTCCTAGCCGCTTGATGGGCCCTTCACATGCGACCCCATGGCCCATCCCGGACAAGAACGCAGAGCGTTTGCGCTGACTAGATCAAATGCCGCAATCTCCGCACTCGAGACACGCATCGACTTTGCGTTTCTATTATTTCTTCCAGTGAAACTAAATAAGACTTCAGGCGCGCGAGCGCTGCGAGACCTGGGCCGCGCGCTGGAGGCAGAGGCCAAAGCCAAGGCCTGGAAGTCCGGAGGAGGGAAGTCGATTTGCATTTTTCGGAGGCATCAGCGCCAGGAGGCTGGGAGTGGGAGCCGTGGGGCAGAGAGCTGCGAGGAGAGTTTCCATTGCTGAGGCGAGTGTCAGCGCTTTGAAAAGGCACGACTTAGTGCAGCGTCAACCTGCTCAGAGCCTCCCCAGATATCAGGCCTTCATGGCCTCCATGGCACAGTGAGGCACAGCTTTGCTTGCGCAATAACTCGTGATATTATGTTGCCAACATTTGCCAAAGTTTTCATGTCATGTTGAGCTTTGCAGTTGTGGCTCCCAGTATTGAGTTGTGTGCTTGCATTGCTCACTGATGGCTTCTGTGCTGGTGTACGAGCCCCAGCTTGTCGAGTTGAGGTGTGCGGTTGCCTATGCTCCCATCTCTTTTCTTGTCTTTCCCATTCTCTCTTTGTGTCCTCTCTGTGTTCTCTAAGACTCTTGTTCGTTTGTTCTTTGCTCGGTTTCCCTTCCTCTTTGCTCTGTTATCTTTCCATGTCTCCAATCGTTGCATCTTGAGGTGTGGCGGAGGCAACGCGGCGCAGGTGGTGAGCTGTTTGTTCGCAGCCCGGTACAAGGTCACCGCGATCTCTTTGTACGCGGATGAAGCGGAGCGCTGGGACAAGGCAGTGAAGGAGGCGCCCAATGGGCAGATGTGCTGCAACTTCCAAGGCACCAACAAAAGTGCGACTCCGCGGAGAAGAAATCAAACACATATATCATATATTGAATAAACTTTAGAGCCTCCGGCTCAGTCCGCCGACGTGGCATCTCCCATGAATGTCCCCCTTCATGTCCCTTCATTTCCCTCTAATTTCCCTTTCACTACTCCTCCTTGAATTCCCCATCAAGTCCAATTTCCCATCATGTCCAGTCATTGCAACCTTCGTGTCGCTGTCATTTTGTATGTCCCATTCATTTCCCCTTCATTGCCCCTCATGGCTCTTCATTGCCCTTTTGTTCGATTTATTTCCGATCCCACAACTAGCCGGGATTCAGGAACCATCAAGGATTCAAAAACCAAGCCAGGTAAATTTGGGATTGGTAAGCTGCAGCGTAGGGCAAGCTCTGAGGGAGTGGTTTGGGGTCAGTTTAGGGCAGCTTGGGTTTCGTTGGTTTAGGGTTGGCTTATTTGTGGTTGGTTTAGGGTTGGTTTAGGGTTGTCTTCGGCTTGGTTGAGGGTTGGTTTAGGGTTGTTTTCGGCTTGGTTTAGGTTTGGGTTAGGGCCGTTTTTTGGATTTGTGTAGGGTTGGTTTAGGCTTGGTTTGGGGCTGGTTTAGGATTTGTGCTTGACATTGGTTTAGGGTCAGTTTTGGTTGGTTTGGGGTTGGTTTAGTGCCGGTTTAGGTAGTCTACGGTTGGTTTGCTTGGGATTGGTTTAGGGTTGGCTTTTGGTTTGGGATTGGTTTACGGTGGTTTATGGTTGGTTTTGGGTAGTGCCAAAGGTGCGTTGTACGCACAGGCGCTTGGTCCTGATGAGACGACCGGACGTGGCGGAGGTCCGTCTGATGATGAGGCTTCTTTCTCTTTGTTCTTCTTATGCTGCTTGTTTGACGCGGCTTCTTCTAGCATGTCATCATTGCCGGCTGACTTGACTTGACGAGGAAATTCGCTGCGTAGCCGCCGTGGAAGTTGGTTGTTGTTTTGTCGTGGTAGCAACACAGGTGCGTCAGGATGGACTCCCTGAATGACTGGTGATTGCTGTGGCACAGGCAACGCTTGCGGCGTTCGCGCGTCGGGGGCTTTTTGTGGGTGGTCCTTGGTGGATCCGATGGGTCAGGCCGGCCAGACGGATCATCTCCGCCGCCGCCGTGACCTCCACGTTGATTGGCTTTGGCGAATCAAGATTCATCGATCTTCTTAAGATCGGATCTTATGCTGGATACGTTGCTGTCTGGTGCTGGCTCCAAAACACCAAGAAGAAGACTTCGTTGTCTAAGGATTTCACGTTGAGGAATCTGAGAAGAACATGAACCATCTCCTGGCTGCCCTCACGCCTGGCATTGCCTTGAATCCGAATGCGGAGAAACCTAGGTCATTCCAAGTGCTCTAAAAATCCCTTAAGGATATGGTGGACATGGTCAGTGTGGCAAAGAGAATTAAGAAAACATGGAGGAAGACAAGGCGGAAAGGCTGAGAGAGAAGTGTGATGAAAAGGAAGGATAAGCAAGAAAAAACAAATAACAAATTGATTTGCGTGTTGACTTGGCTTGAGAAGCGTCGTCTATCCTGGCCAAGATTGAAGTAGCTTATTTCGGATTTGTTCTGAACCCCGGCGATCGCATTTTTCAAGCGCTCGAGCCGTTTCTAAGAAAGCGACCCCCCAGTTTACCTGCAGGTTTTTCATGAGGTGAAGAATGAACTTAAGAGTCCAGATCTTGAACTTCTGCGAAAGTCTCTGTAATGAAAGAAAGTCCCCGGTTCAGCGGCATCTTGCGATCGAAGCTGGGAACTCGATCGTGGGCAAGGCCCTGGCTCTTTTCTCGGCAGCAAACCTTCGATCGTTTCTGTTGCGCGTACTGGACCAGGGTCCACGCACTGGAGCAGGCCGAACAACATTTGGTTGTTGCTCTCGGATAGCGTCCAACACCACCTGTTGATATTTTGAGGTCAAGCGGTAAAGCGACGGTTCTTCACTTGGAGCATCGGCTGATGCTTCTTGCAGCACCGCAGGATCTCTTGGCAGTTGTTGTGCTGTGAGTGGTTTGCCTGAGAACTTGACTGATTCCTTGAATGTTGTGGTTCCTGTCCACAACTCTGGTGTTGTCTTTGCTGAAGCTGCCTGAACCCGCCAGTTGTCCTCGATGGCAGACAGTGGCTCGTTTGTCTCCAAGTATAATGTTTGTGTGATTCTTTGGAGAAAAACTGTGCCATTGGACAAGTTTTGCTTGTGTCAGGTGCTAACAATGCTCTTTGTTTGGAGACATGCATTCTTCGGAGTTCCTTGGCTGCATAGTCAATAGTCATTCAGCGGCCATTGTTGGTGTGGCCTGTAGGCTCCTTCGTTCCTGCCGCGGCGAGCAGAAATGGTTGTTCAAACGGTTTGTTTGATCTTGTCGTCATCCACTGCCGCAGTTGCCGTCCTGAAGTCGTGTTGCTTGCGAAAGGATATCAAGCGTTGCATGACCGCACGTTGTCGAATCATGCCGAATGCCTTGGGTGAAATTTTGTCACATTGAGGAGTATGCTCAGTCGTCGTGCGTCCGAGCAAGCAAAATCGGAACTTGTCCTTGCTCAAGGACATCTACGACCTGCTTGATGATGCGCGCCGTGAGTTCACTGGCCAGGGAGGGCCGGAGCCCGATTCGGTGTAGCGCGCGGAAGCATGTCTGTAGAATGGTCAGTCTAAAAAGAATTGCTGTTGCATCTGAGTGCAGCCAAGCGCCAGAGCTCCAATCGTCCGGGCAAGGCTCTGCCAATATGGCAGCATGAGGCTGTGTGTCCATGGCGGCTTTGGTTCCTTTACCTGCGTCGTCCTTGCAGGAGTCTTTCCCTTTTGTCCTTGAACTTGTGCCATGGTGTTCCTTTTCCTTTCTGGACATGTTTTGCCTTTCTTTCGGTGGTGGAATCGTCGGCCATGCTTCGCTGCCTGGTTTGTGGTTTCCTAAAGTGTTGAAAGCGGCCTCCTCTACCTTTTCTACACTTTGCCCTTGTCGGACTTTAGAGTCCGACGCTGAAATCTCTTCAGTACGAATGCATCATGGTCGCCCAGCTGATAGTCTCCTTGTTTAAATTATACAGAAGGTCTTAGATCGATTGCCGTCGCCAGGACGAATAGTACTGTGGGCCTTCAACAGTCCCGTAGGTGTCTTCAGCGCTGAGTGATGAAGAGCAATGTAAGGATGTTGTCGGACAGTGGAGGCGCCTTCCCAGTTCCTCTCCGGGCTTCTTGGCTTTTGCACTCTTTCATGGGTTTTTGGATTTGGCTTCCCGCATCATCAGCGTCGCCAGTTCCTCCCTATTTGAATCATCCCCCAACCCACCCGCTACTGTTTAGATTGTTCGCAGAGTAATTGCCTATTTGAATCAACTCTTCTTCAAACATCATGGGGGGGGCTGCCGCCTCCCCCCCGCTACTTTATAGATTTCTTGCAGAGACTGAATTGCGCCTTTCAGTCTGCGTTTTCATATCCAGGACCCGGCCCGGACGGCCCCCAGGTCCGGTATTCGCTTTACTCTCTCGCCATCTCCATGGACATAAGAGAACCACAACAAATTGTTGCGGTTCGCTTGTAGCAGTGTGCGTGGTCATGGGGTGGGCAGCCGCTGGGCGGCCCTTCTAATGGTTGGCTTGCCGTGGCTTGCCTCAGCTCAAACCCGCGCCTGGGCCAATTTAAGCCGCTTGCTCTGGTTGCGACTGACCACGCTCAGTGGAAGGACATGGTTGGAAACAGGGCTCTCTTTGGGGCCGCGCTGCGTGTGCTGGAAGCGGGCAGCGCTGCAATTGAAGCCGCCCAGGCCAACGCCGAAGCCAAGCACCTGTGTGAAGCAGCCTGCCCTCCCAGTACAAAAGAAGAAGTGTACGGGCCAAGCAGCTCAAAAGCTGTCAGGTGAAGCCACCAAGCAAAAGGAAGGCTGAGGCAAAAGGAGCCCCGTAGAGCCCGCAAGAAGAGCGCCGGCTGCAAGATGTTGAGACGCAGAACCAAAGTCTTGGGTTGAGAAGCAAATAGAAGCAATCTCTGAAACATAGGCTCACGGGCGATGAAACAGTAACATATCCTAGATTGACTCGGCTTCAACTGGATATCCCAACCAGCCACGTCTAGCAGTCTTGTGTGAGCACGTGGCAAGATTCATACCAGGGTCATCTGGTTCATGGTGTTGCTTCATGCGTGGGTTTGTGCGTGTGTGTGTGTGTCTGTACACCAGTGCCATCCATTTCCCTTTTCTCTTCCAAAAAGGCAACCTATGATTGCACCCCTATTTGAATCATCACTTTTTCGAACGTCCAATTTCGCGAGAAAATGCTGCATAACGCGACATTTTAGGTAATCTGTGTACTCCATGTAGGTCTGTATGTATGCGCTTCTTCGAACATCATAGGGGAAGCCACCCCCGCCAACCCTCCCGCTGCCTTTTAAATTCTATCGCACCCTTTCTTGGATCATTGCACCCCTACTTGAATCATCACTTCTTCCGACATCATGGGGGGGCTGCCGCCCCCAAAATTTGCACCCGGAGTTCTTGGACAAGACGTGAGGAAAAATGTTCACCCGAAGATCTTGGACAAGACATGAGGCAAAAAATGCACCCGAAGCTCTTGGACAAGACATGAGGCAACATGAGGCAAAATTTGCACCCGAAGGTCCTGGACAAGACATGAGGCAAAAATTGCACCCGAAGATCTTGGACAAGACATGAGGCAAAAATTGCACCCGCAGTTCTTGGACAAGACATGAGGCAACATGAGGCCAAAATTTGCACCCGAAGGTCCTGGACAAGACATGAGGCAAAAATTGCACCCGAAGTTCTTGGACAAGACATGAGGCAAAAATTGCACCCGAAGTTCTTGGACAAGACATGAGGCAAAAATTGCACCCGAAGTTCTTGGACAAGACATGAGGCAAAAATTGCATCCGAAGTTCTTGGACAAGACGTGAGGCAAAAACTGCACCCGAAATTATTGGACAAGACACGAGGCAAAATTTGCACCCGAAGTTCTTGGACAAGACATGAGGCAAAAATTGCACCAGAAGTTCTTGGACAAGACATGAGGCAAATATTGCACCCAAATCTCTTGGACAAGACATGAGGAAAAAATGCGAAGTTCCTGGACAAGACATGAGGCAAAAATTGCACCCGAAGTTCTTGGACAAGACATGAGGCACAAATTGCACCCGAAGTTCTTGGACAAGACATGAGGCAAAAATTGAACCCGAAGTTCTTGGACAAGACATGAGGCCAAAATTGCACCCGAAGTTCTTGGACAAGACACGCGTCAAAATTTGCACCCGAAGTTCTTGGACAAGACATGAGGCAAAAAATGCACCAGAAGTTCTTGGACAAGACATGAGGCAAATATTGCACCCAAAGCTCTTGGACAAGACATGAGGCAAAATTTGCACCCGAAGTTCTTGGACAGGACATGAGGCAAAAATTGCACCCGAAGTTCTTGGACAAGACATGAGGCAAAATTTGCACCCGGAGTTCTTGGACAAGACATGAGGAAAAATGTTCACCCGAAGATATTGGACAAGACATGAGGCAAAAATTGCACCCGAAGCTCTTGGACAAGACATGAGGCAACATGAGGCAAAATTTGCACCCGAAGGTCCTGGACAAGACATGAGGCAAAAAATGCACCCGAAGTTCTTGGACAAGACATGAGGCAAAAATTGCACCCGAAGTTCTTGGACAAGACATGAGGCAAGAATTGCACCCGAAGTTCTTGGACAAGACATGAGGCAAAAATTGAACCCGAAGTTCTTGGACAAGACATGAGGCGCAAATTGCACCCGAAGCTCTTGGGCAAGACATGAAGCACAATTTGCACCCGAAGTTCTTGGACAAGACATGAGGCCCCGAAGTTCTTGGACAAGACATGATGCAAAAATTGCATCCGAAGTTCGTGGACAAGAACTGAGGCAACATGAGGCAAAACTTGCACCCGAAGGTCCTGGACAAGACATGAGGCAAACATTGCACCCGAAGTTCTTGGACCAGACATGAGGCACAAATTGCACCCGAAGTTCTTGGACAAGACACGCGGCACAAATTGCACCCGAAGTTCTTGGACAAGACATGAGGCAACATGAGGCAAATTTTGCACCCGAAGTTGTTGGACAAGACATGAGGCAAAATTTGCACCCGAAGTTCTTGGACAAGACACGCGTCAAAATTTGCACCCGAAGTTCTTGGACAAGACATGAGGCAAAAATTGCACCAGAAGTTCTTGGACAAGACATGAGGCAAATATTGCACCCAAAAATCTTGGATAAGACATGAGGTAAAAATGCACCCGGAGTTTTTGGACAAGACATGAGGCAAAATTTGAACCCGAAGTTCTTGGACAAGACATGAGGCAAAATTAGCTCCCGAAGTTCTTGGACAAGACATGAGGCAAAAAATTGCACCCGAAGTTCCTGGACAAGACATGAGGCAAAAAATTGCACCCGAAGATCTTGGACAAGACATGAGCCCCAACCCCCCCGCTATGTTTTAGATTTTCTACCGAGATTTAGTTGCGCCCCTATTCAAATTATCCCTTCTGCGAACATCATGGGGGCGCTGCCGCCCCCCCCAACCCCCCGCTACTTCTAATTGTTAATTTTCTTAAACAAGTTGAAATGCACTCCTATTTGAATTATTTCTTTTTGGACCCCGTCAACCCGCCAGCTACATTTTGGATTCTGTTACCCACGATTTGTTGGTGATGCTAGGGATGTTGGTCGGACACGCGGGGGATGTTGAAAAGGATGCTGGGGATGTTGACGGGCTAGTGTAAAATGCGTCAAGTTCGTGAGAGAATGCTGTAAAATACCACATTTTACTGGCCCGGACGAATCCTAAAAAATCCCAAAATAAATCCGCACCCAAAAAACCCCCCTTTACGTGGCAGACACGCCGAATGTCGGCGGAAAAGACACCACATCTTTAGGTCAAGAGCTGCCCAGACCTGATCACGAAGCAGCCGAGTGCTGTGAAGAATTGCGACGTGGTACTCTTCACGGTTCCCAGCAGTTTCCACGAGCAGTACTTTGCTGCCCTGGAGCCCTACGTCCAGCCCGGCACAATATTCGCTGTGATGCCCGCGCGCTCTGGCTGCGACTTCCTTTTCAAAAAGGCGGGTTTTGTTGGGCTCTCTCTTCTCCTTTCTGCTCCCTCTTTTCGCCCCTCTGCCCTCTGAGTCTCCTCCCCCTATTCTGTTCCGTCCGGTCTCTTCTCTCGGGTCATCTCTTTTCCGTATCCGTCACTCCGACTCACAGGTCATGGGCGAGAAGGCGGATTCCTTGGGCCTAGTGGCCTTCGAGACGCTGCCCTGGGCCTGCCGCTTCAACGACTGGGGCAAGACCGCAACCGTCCTCGGCACCAAGGAGCGAAAGCGACAAGGCGAAAGAAAGCGAAAGAAAGCGAAAGAAAGCGAAAGAAAGCGAATGAAAAGGAAAAGGCAAATGAGACAGCATGAGGAAGAATGAGAAAGAATGAGAAAGAATGAAGGGAAAGCAAGGAATCATCTTGTAAGAAACCGTTGTTTAAGAAAGGCATGTGACGTGTGGAACAAGATGGACAAAGTCATGCCAAGAACCACTGGCATGTGGGATATGAGAGAAAGAATTTCGGAAGAAAGAAATGTAACGAACTGAGGAATGAGTTCTGAGAAAAGACATGAGTTCTGAAGATGTCGGAGAAACGACCTGAGGTGAGTCGAAATCGGGACAGCGCGAACGGGTGATGAAAGTGTGGAGAAAAAAGGGAGATAGAGAGCGGGTTTGGGGTTCGGACAATGCATGCCGTAAAAAAAGAGAGATTCATTTAGGAGTCCATTGGTGCCGCGGTGGTGCCCCCGGCAAACCAGAGCAAGCTGGACGTGATCTTGAAGCTCCAGGGCTTGCTGGGGGTGGAGCCCAAGATCGTCGAGTGCCCCAACGTCATGAGCATCAGCCTGGGCAACCCGGGCCAAGTGATCCACCCCGGGGTGACCTATGGGAAGTGGAGCAAGTGGGATGGCAAGCCCCTGGATAAGAAGCCGCTCTTCTACCATGGCTGCGATGCAGAGACAGCGGATGTGCTCATGGGCATCTCCGAAGACATCAAAGGCATTTGCAAGGCGCTCAAGACTTTGGACCCCAGCTATGACACCAGTCAGGTCAAGACCATCATGGAATGGCAGCTGGATGAACGAATGAACGATGCAATACAAACATAACAGCAAATGAACGAGAAGCGCACAAAGCAATATTTACACAAAGCCTGCCTGGATTGAGAGTCTGACATGCTTGAAGCCTTGTAGAAAGCCAGCAAGAAAGAGACATGCAAACAGACATGACAAGGAAGACAGATGGTCAAACAGACAGAGAGAGGCAAGCAAACAGACAGAGAGAGAGGCGAGCAAGAAGCAGAGACGACGGAGACACACAAGGCCGCAGGCGCATAACCTGGAGCCCCCAAGCCAGCTGCCCAGCAAAGGTACAACACAAAAGCCAACAAAAGAAGAAGGGCGCGCGCAAAACCCACACACCCACACATATCCACACACCCACCCACGCCAGAAACGCGCGCGCGCACGCGTGCACGCGCGCGCGCGTGCGGTCACCTCGGCACACAGAGTGCCAGGTCCCTCATGCCACGAGCGGTTAACATGGCTTCGGGAATTCGGGAATTCGCGGCAAGGGAGGTCAATTGCGCAGCTCAGGTACATGGCATCCTACTCCACGAGCATCACCGACGGCAGCAGCTTGAAGGCTGCAATGAATACCAACAGCGCCTATGAGGGCCTTTGCCACCCGATGAAAGAGGTGCAAGGACCGAGAGAGGCTGAATCTGAGTTTGAAAGGGACCATGGTTTCAATACGGGCGAATGTTTTGCAGTTGAAATGTTTGCCTCAGTTTTTTTTGGCAGGAGGCTTTGTTCCGGACTTTCAGTTCCGCTACCTCAGTGAGGACGTGCCCACGGGCCTTTGCTTCACTCGCGGAGTGGCTGAGCTGCTCGGAGTGAAGACTCCGAGCGTCGACAAGGTGCTGCTCTGGAGCCAGGCCAAGCTCGGCAAGGAATTTCTGAAGGACGGCAAGATGCAGGGCAAAGACATCAAAGACACACGTGCTCCTCAAGCTTTTGGCGTCGCCAGCAAGGACAGTCTTTGCAAATTCTTGAGGATCAAGAAGGAAGCAAAATGCTGTGGTCTTTGCTGAGCAATTTTTTCAGAACTTGAGAGCATGCAAACGCAATGCGAGTGCAATCCAGTTACCATCGAGGTGATTCGAAAGGGATCGGCTCGCCCTATTTTCAGCCATGGCCATCGCTTGGAGAGGAAAAATATTGCAAGTCTTTGCCAGTCTTCACAGTTCCATGCAGCGCTTTTCTGGTCTCTCCAGGCCGAGACCCCGAGAGCGCAGCAAAACAGAGCTATCCTTATTGCCGAGGGACTGAGTTTTTCGCGTTTCGAGCGGTCACAGTTGAGCAGTTGCCAATGCTTTTGAGATTTTGTTCTTGCGCCGCGTTACGATCGTCACGTCCATAGCCGTTGCGCAGCCTGAAGCCGGCTCTCAGAGGGTTTGCCGCGGACCCTCCATGTGAGCTGCCGCCAGGTGTCGAGCCCTCAGGCCCTCAGGCCCTCAGGCCCTGAGGCCCTGAGGGCATGGGACACTTGGGACACTTGGGACACTTGGGACTGGACTTGAGGACTTGAGGACTCGAGTCATTGAGAGAGTCGGAGTGTCGAGGATCTCAGCGATGACGAAGTTGCCATCATTTCTCAGCGGCATGTTCCCGAGCTCCTCCCCGTCAGGCCTGCCTCACACCGGCCCCCATTTCTCTGTGCTTGTGTGGAGAAACATGCTCCGCAATGAGGTTTCCCAGATTCTACGTTCACTGTACTTAAAGGAAGCAGGAATATGTGGGAGGTTTGGCTCTTGGTGTTTGAGCCCAGGTACACAAACGCTTGCCAGAATTGGTCATGACAGGCGTAGCCAACACAAAGTTGTTATATCCTGGAAATCAGACCTTGGCATTCGATTTGTGCAACTCAGAGTTCACACGTTGCAAAGCAGCATATACCCGGATGTCAGGATGTGTTCTATTCTGTACTCGAGCTTAACTCACATGGCCACTTTGCCAGGCAAGCGGGCGGGGACTGGCAAGCCGCCAGGCAGGACAAATGAAAGGACGGTGACGCAGGTGGCACAGGTGGCATATGTGACACACAGTCCATGTAGGCGAACACGTTTGTTTCATCGCAGGTGTGCCGTCTCCCAGAGAGAAGCCTGAAAGACCCCCACCGCCACCTGTCGCGCGCTTTGTGCGCTCGAGACTGGGAGATCCGTGAGCTGAGCTGAGGCAGAGAAGGCTTGGCGAGCACGTGCCTGAGATGGCCCAAGCTATGCCTGGCGCCATGCCATCGCGACAGGAACCGATGATTGGCCAGGTGCAACCGCATCGCACATTTTGCAAATGTGAGTCTGTGGTTCTGTGGTTCCCTTGCGGGACTGCACGGATACCAGGAAGTGACAAATCACGTTCTGCAGGACATGCACAATTATGCATTCATATTGATTCATTCTGGCACCTGCAAGCTGTGCACAAGCTGACAAGTGTTGAGGAGTCCATGGAAATTGTCACCGCGTCGGTTCAAGCGTGGGATCCAGAGGAGTTTGTCCTGCAGTCCCTCCTGCAGGACTGTGAAGACATTGAGAGAGTGCGCTCGGAGTGTGCGCATGAACTCTTCGGATCTCAGGAAGCTGTTCGGAACCACGGCAGGGTGGACCTCATGCAGAAGAAGGCGCGGAAAATCGGACTTGCCGCATGCGGCCCACGTGCCACGCGCCCAGAACGGGGAGAAGATTGCAGTGAAGCGGATGCCAAACAGGTCGGGATCGGCTTCGGAATCGGCTTCGGAATCGGCTCGAGCACCTGAGAGAGAGAGAGAGAGAGAGCGAGAGAGAGCCAGGTGGGTACGCGAAGGCCCTGCTGAGTTTAACGAGCAGTGCGCTCGCCGGGAGGTCGGGACGCAGGGCCGTCACGTAGCAGCACTATGTGACAGGTACCCCACGGCATCGGAAAGGCCCTGGGTGGATATTGGTCTGGTGAGGCGGGCATTGTTAGATCGTCAGCGCATGCTGACCCTGGCCTTTTTGCCCGTTTGCTTGAGCTCTGTTGCTGGGGCACAATGCGCGAGCATTTGATGCCAGGCATGTTTTTGATCGGGAGCACTTGATTTTGTTGGTGCCCGTCGAATTCCTTGTGTCAAGTGGCTCAGGTATTTGAACTCCATCCGGTATCCGTATGCCTGCGAGTTGCTGGGAGTTTTCCGAGACGATGAGACAACGTGCCCAATTTCAGCAAGGCTGGAATTGAGACAAGCGCATCTTGCAGGTACGTCGCGGCAACTCTCGCAACTATTGGCGATTTGTTCACGTGGTGTGACAGGGCCTGGCTCCCAAACGCATCGGGCATCGGGCATCGGGCATCGGGCATGTTGAGGATCCACGGCCTGGAGCAGCCCGAGAGGCCTGCTGAGCTGAAAGACAATTTACGGGAACAAAACACGTCTCAAACGGCGCAGACGTCCGACATATCTGGATCGACATATGTCGCATATCCGATTCGCCTGCGATTTGGTTCGGAAATGTTCGGAATTGCGAGGCAGTAATGCTTCCGATCGTGGGGCAAATCTTCGTTGGTGTGAGGCATGAGCTTCATGTGCTTCGCTCATTTGCCATTTGCTTTTTGCACGCGTCAGGTGGCTTCATGACTTGGGTGTTGCGCACAGGGACCTCTCGTGGGCGCCCAAGCATAGCCATGGATAGCAATGCCGTTTGAATGACTTCCAAGGCTTGAGAACATTCTCCTCACAGATGCAGCAGGCAGTAACTCGCGGATCCCAATACCTTTGCCCCAGCCTTCTGCAGGTGGTCAACAGGTGAAGCTCATCGATTTTGGCATGTCCACAACCAATAGGATATGCAGGAGGGAGGCTGGGCTGAAACTTAGACCTTCAGTACATGCAGACTGCCACCGATTCACAATGTGGCAGGTTCGCGGCAAGCAGTCGTATCAGGACAGGTGATTGCTGTCATCTGAAGCGTGCAGTGCCAAACACATGGGGTGATCCACGGGGGATCCATGCGAAAATCCTCAGGCTCCAGAGATGCATTCAGCCACGGAATATGACGCCTTTCTGGCTGACGAGTGCGCCTGGCGTTGTGACCGTTCGGATGTCCCCAAATTACTTCCCATACAATAAAGATCAATAAAGACAAGAAAAAAGGGACGAGTCGAGTTGCTTGAACGCCGATTGAAGCCGAGTCGGCGTTGAGCAGGTTTGCCCTCGGCGTAGTGCTCTTCGCGATGGCAGTACAGGCGAGAAGGGGCACGTGGGTCGCACTATTCGCTTTGCCCGCAGGACTACCCATGGACATCAACCAAGAAGAGCTCATGTCAGCTCTTCGAGTATATCTCCACGCCCTGAACCAAAGCATGTCATGTCAGATACGGCAACCCGTGCATATCCGAGGTTCGGCCTCATGAAGTTCTTGAGGAAGCGGAAGCTGCGCAAGGGCACAGAACACTTGTCGGAGGCGACGGTTGTTTTGTGTTCTCCGATGGTTGGAAGCGACATTGAGAGGTATTGAGTCCTGAGCTGGCCCAGCTCATCGACTGCATGCTTCAGGTGTGGATCACTTGCGAAGATATGCCATTGCATCGCACACCCCTCCCGCATCCCATGGCATATCATGCTATCCGTGGCATCCCATGGCATCCCATGGCATTCCATTGTGCAGTTGGAGCCGGTCAATCGACTCTCCTTGGGCGAGTCCTGCTACAATGGCGAGGTGTCGGAGACTGGAGAGTGCATTGGACACGTCCTACGTGCCCACTTTGGTAACACATTGCAATTCACAAATTTGCACAGCTTGAGACGGCTTGAGACTCCGAAAGGCTCGCAGAACTGTGTGGGACGAAGCTTGGATCCAGTCCTTCCAAGGCGCGTGCAGCGCAAGCGCACGCGGTGCACGCGCAGCGCACCAGCGCATTTTTTGAGAGACTTTGGCAGGGAAGTAGCTGGATTCCGGATGTGACAGGAGAGAGGCAGGGAGCAAGTTTGAGTTATGGAAGCTTCTCTTGAGCGCATGTGAGAGCAACGTCTCGGCAATCCAAGGAGCACCGCCAATTTCAACTTTCAATCCCGCGAATGGCGTGACCGGGGAAAGTACGAGCGTATCAAAACCAGTTGTCACCATTGCACAACAGGTGTGGGCATATTTGACAGACACTGCAGTGTTGCACTTGGGGTTGCCATGCACCGGGTCTAAGTCTCATGAGTTTCACCTCCCGGATTCCTCACGGACGGGATGAGACGCTTTCCTATTTTTCAAAAGCTTGAGGTCAGTCGGATGCAACACGTCAAGTGTTACCAACCTTGCCTGCAGCGTGCAACCGCGACCAGCGACATCATGGGCCATCATTTGTTTGCAACTGAGCTGGTCCACAGATCAATGAGAGCTCAGCGAGCAAGGTCGGATCCTGGCCAAACTTGCCCATGGTTTCTTGCCTAGGTGACATTGACATGTGTTAAGCATTTTCAAGGCCTTCCATTCCAGGTCCCGGTTGAAGCTTGAAAGCTTGACAATACTGCGTCACCGCTCGACCTGGCTCATGTGCCAGGCATTCCCGTGTTTCAATGCTGCGAGTTTTTCGGCTAGATCTGCCCACTGCCCGGGTAACCTTCGGATCAAAGAGCTGGCAAGCGTATGGCAAGCGTATGGCAAGCGGAGCTGTCGGGTTGCGCCTTGCGACGCCTTGCGATGCCTTGCGATGCCTTGCGACGCCTTGCGACGCCTTGCGCCCTTTCTGGCCCAGAGGGGAAGACAGAGGTGAGGTCCAGGTCTCGGAGATCACATGCTGGGAGTGCTAGCAGTCCTACTAGGCTCGCAAATGACATGTCGGGGCCGTTGCAACATGGACAGCAGGATGTGCGCGGATAGACGGCCTGAAGATGGACCTCACAGACAGCAACTTCCGAAAGGCCCTTGAGGGCAAGAACGCCGGGGCCCTGGATTCGAAGGAGTCAGGCGGAGGCGTCAGCCTCGAGCCAGGCCTTCGTCTTCTTTCAGGCCCCTTGGTGTGGCCGGGGCCGAAGGGAATGACGGAAGGATTCGAGAGAGTTGGACATGCAGAGGCCATTGCCGGAAGCTCCAGCCGGAGTGTCGACCCAAAACGCCGAAGGGGTGCATGCCGAACCTCAGCTCTCGTTCAGGTGGGACCAGATGGCCAAGGTTTTCGCAGACACGCCCAATGTCATCATCGGCCAGGCCGAACGGGAAGCGGCCGTGCGAGAACTGAGAAGACCCACACCCCTGCCTCTCACACAGACATACGTCCACACACCCCACAGACGCGCTCGCCCACACATACACTTGGAGTCTAAAAAAGGGCAAAGCAAGCGGCTCGGGGGACCAAAAGGAGCTGTGCAATTTGGCAATGCAGTCTTCGTTGGGCATGTGCACCGCCTGGGCGGCCGCCTGGCCGGCCGCCTGGCCGCCCAACGGCGCGCGCGGCCGCGCCCCGATAGCCCGCGCGCAAGCACACGCGGACACGCAGGCGAGACATGGAGACAAAGAGAGACACTGACGCGTGCACAGACTCGCGTTGACGTACGTGCTCTCACAGTCACGCAGAGTGACAGAGACACACGGACAAACACACACGAACAGCCCACGCGCACGCAGACAGCCAGACACAACACGGAGACCCACAGACACAGACGGCAGGCAGACACACACACACACACACACAGAAATGCAGAGATGCACAGACATAAACTGACACGCGTGCAAAAGCAAGCAAAGACACGCAGACGGCAGGCAGACACACGCACACATGCATACACAAACACATTCATGTAGATATCGTGCAGACATTGCGCACACGTCATGCAGGGTATCATACAGATTAACATCGTGCGCCAGATATCAGACCGTCAGCGGGGTGGGGCGGGGGGATTGCTCACTGATTGAGCAATAAATCCGGCGGGAAATGGTACAAAGGGGGAGCTGGGGAGTGGCTCTTATTCAGTTTTTGTGTTTTTCTCAACCCTCCATTGTACCCTCCATCCTAACTTATTCATGTTTTTGTTGTGTTAATAGGGGTCAAAACGTTTTGAAGTATAAACATTTCATTTGTTTTTCTGTTTTCTCCTTTTCTTCCTTTGCCTTATTCAAAAAATCACATTTGATGGTTCCTTTTCCTCGTCCTTCATGCCTCTATCATATACTCTAGAATCCGGACGAGGAAAGCGAAAAAACATGAATTTGCTATTTACTGTAAGCCACACCAAGCTTCTATCTATCTTCATGCAAATCTTGGAATAAGAGAAGCTTGGCTTTCCATTACTTCATGCCTATTTTCTTCTAATAATCTCACTATCATTCATCCCCACTTTAGACCATGCCAAAGGTATGGTCAGGTTCTGGGGTTATTAGTTCGAACAAAGCGCGATTGTCATGTGGCCAGCATGGAGACAGCGCCGAACGGGCGCTCTTAGACCAGCGTGCGATAAAGTGAGACATCAGTAAACGATACATTCGCTAGCTTTGGAATCTTCCCTCACCAAACCTCAGGATTGGAAGTGTCAGACTGTGAAGGATGGACATGGGAAATGCAAGCCAACCCATTTCTTCATCCTCCATCCACACTGTTCTTTCTCCTTACGACTCTCTTCTCTCATTCTGTTGACCCTTCATCTCATCACCAATCAGAAAAAGACCAGACAAATAGAGTGATGAAGGGTGAAGATTTCCTTTCTTCCTTGTCTACCACTATCACCGCCTCCGCTATTTGAGAGCTTTATCATAGAGGCGTTGACTATCTGTTCCATGTCTTACTCTCATTCCATGTCCCAGCTTTATAAACTAGCAGGAAAAGTGTAAGGAATGAGAGCTAAAGAGACGAAAAAATAATCCATTCCCAATCAACATGAAATCAAACACAGTCCCTTCTAGAGGGGAACCTTTAGCGAGCGCGTGCTACCCGTATTTTCTCATTCGCTTGAACCGTGAAGCGCAGCCTCGAGAGGTGGACTGCACTGGCAGTGGACAGGGGCCTAGCGCATGAAGTTTTCTACAAAATGCGGAAGTTCCATCCCCTTGAAGAGTACCGTGCGCGCTGCGTACTTGGATTGAGATCGGTGACTGAAGGCCAGAGCTTTTGCGGTGTCCGGCACTCAGGCAGCTCAGCATGCGAGCTCTCTCGTAGCATCGCGTAGCATCGCGAGGAGAATGGTGTGCAAGGCTACCCGACACTGAAGCTTTGGAAGGACTGTCGCGGTGCCTTCCTGGTGCCATCATCAGGGCTGCTTGGCCAGGACGGCAGAATGCAGGATTACAACGGTGGCCGTGACTTCAATTCGATGAAGCGAGAGGCAGCACACGTTGCAATCTTTCTTCTAGACGGGAGAGGTAGACTAGCGCTGCCTTTCTTCTGGAGCGCCAAAAATCACTCAGGTTTTCTTGATACCCCTGTTGGACTGACTCCACAATATATCACCGTGATCAGCGACTTGTCGACGCACCGACGGCCGAGTAGGCGAGTAGGCGAGTTGGGGCAGTGATTAGCTAAAACAAACTGGGGGTCAGAGTTGGGCATGCCCAAGTCTCCAGACGCTGCTTACGTCAGGATTTGGTTTAGACTTCCTTGGGCCCAGTTCTGTTTGGCACGAATCAGATTAGTAGTGCGTGTTGGTTCAGCAATCTTTAGAATTGGTGAAGGATTCCGGTGTAGATGTGGTGTAGTGTTGCTTTAATGTTCGCTTGTACTGGCCCAGAGTTGTTTTTTCTTTATTTTCTATCCTTAACCATTTATTGTCAGCTTGTTTCCGGGTCGTCCCTTTCTTCAGCCCCTTGAACATTTGTTTGGGTGGCTGTTTCAGTGCAGGGTGTTTGGCTGTTTGGGCCGGTTTTACTGCCTCAGGATGGGCTTAGTAGTGTTTTCTATTGGTCCAGTGCAGGTTTAGTATTCGTTGTGTTGCTTTAGTATTGGTTAGTGTTCGTATAGTATAGTCTAGTGTTGGTTTAGCATTGCTTTGCACACTCAGTGCTTTTTATTGGGTAAGGGTTCTCCACAGGGTAGACAAATCGGAAAAGGCGACCTAAACCTGACAACAATGTGGGACAGATCAACAAATCTCGGTGGACAAATATGGCTGGCTGTCTGGAGGTAGGGAAAGTTGCAGCCTAAACCAAGACTAGACCAATAGTAAGCCAATAGTGTTGGCAAGTTGCAAGCCCAAGCCAGCTGAGGCCCCAAACAGCCATTTTTTTTGCACGCGCCCTTTGCTGAAACAGCCGCCCTATCAGATCAGATTTTGAAGCCTGGTAGGACATGGAGAAGGCAAGAAACTCTGGGCGAGACCCGCCAGGTGCAACTAAGAGTTGAACGTGCCTAAGTAGCCTCCCAGCAAGTATTTCTTTGCGCTGCTTCAGAATTTCGTTTAGACTTCCTTGGAGATGGCGCAGTCTCTAGAGTTGGTTCTGGAAACCCATTCAACATATATGTGCTATTTTGCGTCTCCCGCCGTCTCTTTGCGTCTGCTGCGATTTTGCGCGGGTGCCTGTCTATTGCAATCTCCAATTCTGGAAAACCTCTTTGTTTGGACATCGGTCAGACCATATCTCCCGCTGTCTCAAGGGTCCTCTCGTAGGTGGAGCGCAAGCTGGAGCCGCGGCCTGCCTGCAGCTTGGAGTCCAAGGACGCTTGCAAGGCGGAGGACCGGAACGGGACCCGAACGGGGATCGGAGAGTTGAAATCTCTCGCATCCACAATATGTCCAGTTACTCCAGTTTGTTCCCACTCGAGTTGAGAGGATTTGGCCATCCTCGAGGAGAGTGAGAAGATGTCCAAGGCCGTGTCTGGAACATTGTTGCTCAGCCTTGCCTGGATTCGCAGGCAGAGAGAGCCGCCAAGATCAAAGAAGTCCAGCAAGAGATTCAGGACGCGCGGAGGGCTGCAATAATTCTGCCCAAGCCCGTAGAACACAAGGATGCCAAACATCAAGCAGCAGAGATGGAGAAGAAAGCCAAAAAGTGCCCTGTGCTTTTTAGTCTCCTATTTTCTCTTTGCAGTGCTTTGATTTGCAGGTTGGCGGAATCCTTGGACCTTATCAAGGCAAGGTTGAAGGTGCAGGATAGATGTATGGGAGGATATTATCGAATATGCGAATATGTGCTCGGACATGCGTTGCGCGTTGAGGCAGGGGGCCAGACGGTGGAGAAGGTTGAGCAGCTGCTGAACAATGCAGACTGGCGTGCCCACTGCGAGGACTGGGACGCGAAGCAAAAACGAGAGAGGCGGCGTTGGCAGCATGAGCAAAGACGCTACAAAGACGCAGCAAAGAGGTAAAGTTTTGAATGAGCTTCGCCAAATGGCAAATGCCCTCAGGGACGAACCTGCCTCGTCGCCTTTCTGCCGCACATTTTCGACGATGGCCTGGGACACAGAAAGCTCTAAAGCGCGGATAGACACGTTGACTGCTTTTGACTGCATGTTTTGCAACAGTTTAGTCAAGGATGTGTGAGCCCCTTGGCCCCCAATGGCAGGGGAACTTGCCTACGTGTGTGCATTTATGGCCAAGGGTTGAGTAGGTCCGCTTGGTAGTGTGTGGGGGTTGCACGGATGTTTTTGCTGAATGCCACTTGGTGTTTGCTTCAAGCGCAAATCAACACTTGCGTGGGCGGAAATCCCCCAGAGCTGCTCAGCGATCAGCAATTACGGGTCCCCCGCTTGCAGTTCTGGGCGCAACCTTTGCCGTGCATTTTGGGCTTCTCGCTCTTGCTGACTGGTTAGCCGAGGAGGTTGCTTTGTGAGGCTGGAGCAACTTTTAGTGCCACAGCGGAGTGCAGCTTGCAGGGCCCTGCCTACTGCCGGGCGAGAGCAGCTGCTTGAGGCAGTATGCGTGCCTGCTGCGGGGTGAGTGTTGAAACCCCTGGCGTTGAACCCCAAGAGGCTGGGTCGAACCCAGAGCAGCTCGCGCTCTGGTTGCGCCAGCTCGAAAGATTGCTCTTTTTAGGAGCTAAGGAGAAGGTCCATGATTCTCCCGATGCCGACAAAGAGGATGGATCCGTCTCGCGGACTTCCAAGCCAACCAGCAAGGAGACCAACAAGCCAGCCAAGGATGCTGGATCGAAGGGGCAAAGGGAGATATCCCAATGCCGCCAGCCTCTGGTCGTGGTGGTGGTGCCAGTGGAGGAGAAGATGCTAGGAGGAGTACCGTCGATTGAAGATCGCAGGGGCGAGGGCTCCAATCCAAAAAAAGTGACCGCCGTGATGACTACTCGGACAGAGGCGGAAATTTTGCCTTTTTCTATTCTGGTCTTTTCCCTTGTGTTGTTTGGTCATTGGCGCGTTTGGAACCCTGGGTTTTTTGGGCTCGGGGACCTTTCTTCTGTGGCTCTTGCTTGGGTGCGGGCTCGCGCCCGAAACACACTCAGTTTCCAAGAGCCCAAGAGCAGGATGTTGATGAAGCCCTGAGAAGAACAGCCTGTTCCAAAATCAAAGGCCGCTCGCGCAACCATGGTCTTATAGCAGATGACGTGCTTGATCTGAGCGGGAGACAGCGGGGTGACTGCCCAGAACATGTTGGTTTCCTTTTGAGCTTTCATGTTGCAGATGCGTTTCACGCGCACGGCTCGCCTTTCTGCCTCCAGGCAAGCGCCCATGCCAAGTTGCTAGCTCTTCGTGTCGCGCACGTGCTTGACGCGCTTGAAACCTATGTTGCGCAACTCAAGAGGCCGTCGCGCACGCCGAACGCGTGGTCTGTAGATGGAGAGGTGTGGGCATTGGCGAGAACAGGTTCCGGCTCTGGATCTGAGGCTGAGCAGAAGTTCCGCTCCTTCTCTGTCAAAAGCGAGCAAATGACCTTGGTCAAGACGCAACACGCGCGCCCAATTCGCAGAAAGTTGACAAACATCATGGCCCGAATCAGAAAATTGAGCTGGGTGCACCTTGAGTCATCTGGGTGCGCCGGTTGAGCATGATACTGACCCTGAATAAAGATTAGATGCCAGAAGCATGCAAATCACATGGTAAATCAGGTTTGCCTGGCATGATCCCTGGATAAATTCACTATGAAACCATGCAAATTTCATGGGGGATGAGGGTTGGGAGCACTGACCCTGAAAAAAGATTAGATGCCAAAAGCATGCAAATCCTATGGTAACCATGCAAATCCCATGGGGGACTGACCCTGAATAAGAATCTGCATTTTGCATGGATCCCAATGGGAATTCTAGAGTTCTTTTGTGAGCTGGGGAACTGAGGATTCATTCATTCATGTGGGGGGAAGGTTATTTAGTTTATATTATTTTGTTATCTTTTCATATTTCTCACCTGGGAACAACGGTTAGCATTATTTATGGTATATTTTCCCGAAATCGGCTAGCCTTATTTATGGTATATTTCTTAGTTTTTCGGAAAATCGGCTAGCACTGTTTATGGTATATTTACTAGTCGTAGGTCAACATGACTGTTGAAAAAGCAAGTGTTGGACCTTGACCTATTTCTGAGCTTTTGAAGAATCAGCTTTTGACCTTTGACCTTTTTCAGAACTGTTGAAACTCCAGGTTTTTGCTTTGAAAAGCCGTATTTTTACCTTTGACAGTTTTCTGAACTTTTTTCTCGCCTCATTTTTCCTTGCACTTTTTTCTCGCTCCGTTTTCCCTTGCACTTTTTTCTCGCCTTGACCTGCCCCTGCACTTTTTTTCACTTGTTTTTCCTTGCGCTTTTTTCCTCAATTTTTCCCCTTCCACTTGTCCCAACAGCTGAAAGCTTTGGGGTCTCAGCCCAGATAGGCTCCGGGGTGGTCCTTATTCTCGGTTTGATGCTTTTTTGGGGTATATAAGATTGGGGTATATAGGAAACCCTGTCTTATGAGCCTTTTTTTAGTCACAGACGATGATCATGTTGATTCTACTGCGTCAAACTGATCATCAATCAAAGACAGTCCACAGGTTACCTTCCTTGATGCTTCAAGTTCCTGGAACAACGGACGCAATAGACGACCGTAAAGAACGGGTGAAGCTGACAGGGCTGCCCAGCGGATGATGCCTATGTCTATGGCTGTGTGGGGGTTTCTGCACCTGCCAACATCCATGCTTGCTTCACTCCTGCAAACAATCGCACTTTGCCGAGCAGCAACGAAATTTGAATCTGCAGTATGGAGCGCCCTTCATTCACCCGTGTCAATGCTCCTGCAAACTACTTCGTTGGAACAAGGCCGATAGCTGTGATGAACTCAGGGTGGCCTCGCTCGCTGTCCTTCGAGCTGTCCTTGTCCTGCGTCCGCGGCTGTGCGCCTTCACACCCTTGCCCAAACCTACTTCCCCCTTCACCTTGCTGTTGCGTTTTCACCCTCGTTATCGCCCAGCGTGCTAGCCTGCTCGGGTTTCAAGCCTTCTGCGCCCGTCTTGCGTGCTCTTGCTGCGCCTCGACGGCTGCTGCGGCCCGAAGGTGCAGGGAAGCTGTAGGTGCGCAGGAGCAGTGGCCGGCCATTGCAAGGGATGGGAACGGATGTTAAAGCCAAGGCGCATCTCGCCTCCACCGCGTGGCCTTCCATGGGTGTGCTGTCGGCTTGGCCAACACAGAGCCCGTCAAGAAGTTGTCGCCGTGCAAGAGGAGCATCAAGGGAGGGAGCAACCTCTGAAATATGCGTCCTCGGGCGTGTCGGAGGTCTCCTGGCTCCACATAAGTCGGCTCACGCTGCAAAGGATTGCCATGGCCAAAGGTTTGAAGAGTTTGAGCAATAACTCTTTCTCAGAAAGCCTTGTAAGCCAAGAGCAGCGTTGATCCAATCTTAGCCTGCCATGGCCCGCACGGCGATGGGGGAGCCAAGGGTTTGTAAGCCATTGCAGATAGCCGCGCATGCGCGCCTGCGTCCACAAAAGGGTTAGCAACTACGGCGCTACGGGTCCCGCGATTTCTGCCTCTGGCGCGCGTTGTAGGTCTCTTGGTCTGTTGAGAAACTTTGCCTGTTTTTGACGCCCGACTTGACGACTTGACGCGTTTCCGGTGCGGGGGAGGTGCTGCAGGCCGCAACGAGAAGTTGAAGGCGTGGCACGAGCACCTGTCACGTAAGATGTGTGTGACACACCTCCAAGCCCGAAGGTTTTGGACCAGGTCTTGAAAGACACCAAGAAGGCGCGGCTCACCGCGTTGGCAAGCGCAAGCTGGCGCATTGCAGGATGGCAAGTCGGTGGGATTTTTGTGGAGCCAAGGGGGCGATCAGTTCGAGCTAGAGGAGGCGCAAGTGCAAACGAGCGGGGATGGGATAGAGCCAAATTGAAGGCGCTGGGCCTTCAGTTCGGCTTCCCTGCAGCGCAGGCCCCAGCCAGGATCAGCGCAGATATGTAGGCCTTCCATGTTCCTGGTGAACGACTGTCTTGCGACAGTCAAATTATTAGCTTGCGACATCTTGCAACCCTTTGTAGCATCGTGTGGCAACGTGTGACATCGTCTAGCACGACTTTGGCAGCATGTGCAGCGCGTTGCTTCTTCCCGTCGCCAGAGCCTCGTATCACTTCATGGCGTGTTGAGCCACTCAAGCACCTTTTGCAGCGGATGTGGCATTGTGTTTCAGCTTGTAGCAACTTGGAGGCGTTGTGGGGCATTCTGTGACACATTGCCACATTCTGCCCCATATTGCGGCGCATATAGGTAAGAACTTGAAACATCTTCACGGCGCCGTGTGACACATACACTGGCCGCGCCAGTGTAGACAAACAGTTTGAGGGCAGGTGTGTTGCAAGCGCAGGATCTGGGTCCCTGGCACGATTGCGTCATGAGGTCATTGCCGTGAACTTTGGCAAGGCCGGAGAAGTTGGCTGGACATGGCTGTGTTTTTGTGTATAGCCCTTCTCCAGGAATGGCAAGGCGCCGTGCGTTAACGGATGGCTGGCAACCAACCAAGCGCAAGAACAAACTTGACGCCCCTGAACCCAAGCCTGGACCCCCTCGATCCAAACACGGCAGCCCCGTATTAACCGTTGGAGGCTGCTTGGTTGGAACTGTAGCCTTCGCACCCGCCCCAGCATCTCTGAAGCTCAAACCCGCGCCCAACTCAGCCAGTTAGCTTTACGACCAAACTCATATTCTGAAACCTTTCCGGATTCAGGAACTGGCAACTACCGGAGTCGGATTCAGAAACTGCAGTCGTATTCGCAAACTCCTCAGCGTCAGAGTCGGATTCAGAAACTCCTAGTTCGGGTTTAGAAACTAAATAGTCGCAGTCGGAAACCCCGCCAGATTCAGAAACTAATAGAAGGATTCAGCAACTCCCACGCACCTAGCTCAGCACTGCGCAGATGCCTGCCACTAGTAAGGGCACACGCTCACGCGCACCCACTCATGCCTGCCAAATGGTGAGTTCACGTGCGCCCGCTCAGCGTTGAACACATGCCTGCCAGATGGTAAGAGCGCACATGCCTGCGGAATGGTAAGAACACCCTTTCACGTGCGCCCGCTCAGCACTGCGCACATGGTAAGAACACTCGTTCACGTGCGCCCGCTCAGCGTTGGACACATGCCTGGCAGATGGTAAGAACGCCCGCTCACGTCTGCCAAATGGGAAGAACACCCACAAATGCCCCAAGTGGTAAGAACACCCGTACACGTGCGGCTCAAATGGTAAGAACACCCGTTCACGCGCGCCCGCTCAGCGCTGCACCCACTCACGCACACCCGTTCACGTGCGGTTATATCTTAAGTTGTTACAGAACAAGCGCCAGGGCGCGCAAGGCATTTTTGAGATCCGCAGTTTCAGCAAGCAAGACTGGAAGCCGGGGACCCATGCCCACGATTTGTTCACGTAAGCTGCAAAGTTCTTTTACAACCTTTGCAAACTAGTTTCCGTCGGAAATCCCAAAGCTCGAGTGCTGGTTATGCGACTGCGCAGAGCCCAACATGCAAGCTAGGTTGGCTAGCGCACCACCCGTGTGAACGAGTTTCAGACTATCGCGTTCCCTCAGGTTTGTACCACGAAAGCCAAGCTTGAGTTTCCGAATGTTAGCTTCTGAAACCGCGTTACCAGTTTCCGAATATTGTTTCCTAGTTTCCGAATACCAGCTTTCGAATATTGGTTTCCGAATGAAGCGTTTCGCAGTCTCCGCATCCTAGTCTCCGATTCCTGGTTTCCGAACACAACGTTTTAGTTTCCGAATACTCGTTTCCGAGTACCAATTTCCGAACACAACGTTTTAGTTTCTGAACACCACGGTTGTGTTTCCGAAATAACGTTGGCCCTACCACTACTCTAAGCCTATGCCAAGCCGAACGTGGAACCCTCTGCAGAGATCGTGCGCCGTGAGTGTCAGAGTGGCCACGGTTCGGTTCGGTTCGGTTTCCAAAAACCTCTGTTTAATTACGGCTCGGTTCGGTTTCTCATCTGAAATCGGTTCGGTTTGGTTCGGTTACTATGGTATGGATTCGGTTCACGGCTCTTTGAACTATGCCACTTCCAGCCGCGCACCACACTCCTAGCCTCGGCGTGCCAGCCTCCTATCTCTATCACAAGGCACGCATTAACACTTTCACACCTCCATCCCTCCAGCCTGCCTGCAGCCTCACCAGCCTCGCCTCCAGCCTCACCTCCAGCCTCATCTCCAGCCTCACCTCCAGCCTCATCTCCAGCCTCACCTCCAGCCTGCCTCTGCCCAGCCTCGCCTCCAGCCCCCCCTTCAACCTCACCAGCCTCACTTCCAGCCTTGCAACCTTCACCTCCAGCCAGCCTGCTGCTTGCAGCCTCACCAGCTTCACTTCCAGCCTCACCACCTCCAGCCTCGCCTGCCTTCCCAGCCTCACCTGCCTTCACCTCCAGCCTCACCCGCCTCACCTTCACTTTCGCCTCCAGCCCCACCACCTTCACCTCCAGCCTCACCTGCCTCCCCTTCAGCCTCACCAGCAACTTCATCGCCACTGTTAGTTAGTAGTCATACGCCAGCTTCACCTCCAGTGTCATCAGCTCAGTCCCGCCAGCAGATACCTTCCCCCAATATGTTGGCAAGCAAGGGCCTTGAGGTCGCTTTTGGCGGGATATGGTTTGGTGGCAATGCATAGCAATTTGCTCTTACATAGCCATGCTGACCAGAGAGTCAATTAGCTGGACAGGGTCTAAAGACATAAGTGGTCCCTCTGGAGTAGGCCCAAATAAAAGCAATCTGCCAGGTTGCCAAACAAAACTAAACTTCAGCAGCCCAGGGCAGGCTGTGAGCATTTTGGCTGAAGTTGCATTCTTGTCTGAGGGAGCCTTGTCTGGCCATGCGGGGCCCAATGAAGTTGAACTTTCGGATCCTTGGGCTGAGGATTTCGTCCGTCAACAGTATGTTTTTGTTTTCCGGGGGTGCGCCCATTGGAAGTTGCTTGAGAACGAAACCAACAGGGACGCGGCCCAAAAAAAGTGAGCAGGGGTTTCTGGTGCAATTTAACTACATTACAAGGGGATTCCGTTGGGGAACAAAGTAAGTCGTTATTTGGCTCCCTATAGATGTGGGCTGTGTCTTTTTTCGGCAGACCCCAAAAAGAGGTCTCTAAATCCAGCCACTTCTCGCTGCGTCCCAAGAGCAGCCAACTTGCATGACGTGCGTGTGGGAGCGTTTTTTTTGAGGAACCCGTTACGTTTGTGGTTTGTGGGGTTGGAACAAGAAATGCCTAAGGAAACCCTGCCATCTTGGGCACTCCAAAAAGACATGTAACAATCTGGACGCCTTTAGCGCTTCTGATAATCTGAGTTTTGACAAGCGGAAAATTGAACGAGCTGAGGCGCTGAACTCCGCGATTCTGGCTCCTCACCAAGCTCTAAACCTAACGATTCGGTTGTTTTCCTCTGGACGGTTCGGTTCGGTTCGGCTTGTGCAAATAACGGTTCGCAGACGGTTCGGTTCGTACGGTTCGGTTCCACGGTTCTCGGTTCGATTCCTGGGTTCCATGGAGTGTGTCTTGGTCCCGGCGAACCCCTCAAGAGGGAGCGTCGCTCGCAGCATCATGGTCAACGCTATGTGCAGCATCATGCGCAACAACACGCGCAACAAGACGGGCAGCGTCCTGCGCAGCGTCAGTTTCAGCGGGGGACCCCTTTCCAGTCACAGCCTTGTGGAAGGCAGGCGCAATTGTAGGTAGACAGAAGCAAATGGCTGCAAATGGACCTGGAAAGAAGTTTACGGCTCAGTGTTGGAATGCTTTCAAATTAGGTGTTGCGCGATTCTAGAGGCCCATGTGCCAGCAATCCGCAGCACGCATTCCGGCAGCAGCCCTGCTCAACAGGCGCTGATCTTTGCGCGGACCACGTGGACAAAGCCCAGGGACATATCCGCCAACTTTGTCAAGGTTGCTTCAAGTGGCTGGCCCTGGCCTACTTCAACACCCACTACAATTGTCTCTCCAATTAGGCCCCCCCCCACCGGCGTTCAACAGCTCTAGCTCCTGAATCGCACACGTGTAAAAGCACGCGCCTCCGAGAGGGCCCAATACTTGAAAGTGTGACGGGGGTCAAACTTCCAGCTCGCTTGGAAGTCAACACTGGGATTGCTTCGGGGGAAGCACCGCGCGCCTTGTTTGGAAGCTTGTCAGTCTTGCTGACGCCACCGTCTTCTTGGGGCATCGTGTCGCTCACCTCGGTCTCTTCTTTGAGAAGTAAGTGCCAAGAAGTCAGCAGTGCAGTATCTATACTTGCTAAGTGGTTTACGACCGCCGCTCGTATAGGGCTTGCTGCGTTTTGCTTTGAGTAGGGCCGCCCTGAAGACAAAGTACAAGTTTTCACTGCTTTCAAGTGACGCTGAATCATTGCACTGCCGGATATGAGCCCTAGGAAGCATTCGTTCCAAAGAGTAGTGGTGTTTAGTTTCCTAGCTCAAGCAAGCGCATCGTCGCAGCGCCATGCTGAAGGGCACGAGCTTTGCGCCGAAAGCAAGGCGCAACAGAACTGAGCTGGGCGGCTGTGATCACTTCCTGCTCCGGCCAAGGCTCAAGTCGATCCACACCACCCCGTGGCGATCGTGGGTTCTGAGATACATGGAGCCCTCACTAAGCATGCAAAATCCTGGCAAACAAGCTGGTTTACCCAGAGCAACCGGAGCAATGCGTTGCTATTCACTACGTCAGACCGATAGCCGCAGGCTTTCGAAAATTCCAGCAGGGGAGTGCTGTTGTGAAAGCCTGTGTGGGAGAGAGCTAGCTGATTGATCAAGGGACTGTGCCGCCCAGCAGTCCCAGCGTTTCCCACATCATTGGAAGCGGGGCCGGGCTGCGATTTAGATACATTCGTTGCAAAGAAGGCCGCCGGCATCGCGAGGAACTAGCTGAAATGGAAGGGCGACGAGTGTCGGATTCTCTAAATATTTAAGCAGAGCAAACAGATAGCAAGCAGCGCTCCTTAGCGTATGCACTCATTGTGTTCCAGGGATTCGCGATGCTGTTGATGCCGGTGTGTGGATCGAGTCCGCGCGACAAATTTGTTAATTCGTCAGAGCGAAAATCAGCTAGACTTCATTGCTGGGAATGCGAATTAGCTAATTCGACAGAGCGAATATCATCTAGACTTCATGCTGGTAATGCTGGCGATGCCGGTGATGCACTCCGTAGATCAAGGCGACGGGTGTCCGTGCGACGAATTTGCTAATTCGTCAGTGCGAAAATCAGCTAGACTTCATTGCTGGTAATGCGAATTAGCTTTACTTCGCCAGAGCGAATCTCAGCTACACTTTATTGCTCATAATGCTGGCGATGCCGGTGATGCCTTCGTCAGAGCTAATTCGTCAGAGCGAAAATCAGCTAGACGTCATTGCTGGTAATGCTGGCGATGCCGGTGACGCACTCCG